AGATGAAATAAATTTCAATTATTACTTGTTGGGTCGGAGCGTAGATGAGCAACCAGAGCCTAGGAAACAGGAAAGCCCGTCATAGAGCAGTCGACTAGAAGTAGAAGACTGATGGCCTGAGAGAAAGTGGCCTCTCTCGGGAAACATGATAAAATTTATCTTCTTTCTTTTTGATTTTGGGTTTCTTTATTTTTTCATGGGCCCGGAACGCTAAAGGTGAGAAGCAAACTAAACCTTTAATCGACCTGGACACATAAAAAATTCTCGACGTCGAGAGAGTTTTAAGATTCCATAAGTAACTCAGTGAGTGCTTTCTAATAAGGGAAAAAGAAAATGAAAAACGAACAACTGCGCTGGTCGTAATAGATTGACTTTCATTCTAGTTCTTGCTTCAGTATGAAAGTTCCATTTGAAGGAAGGACGACGTGCCATGATACTTTCTGTTTTGTCGAGCCCTGCTTAGGTCTCTGGTTTGATGGTTGCACGTGCTAAAAATCCGGTACATTCCATTTTGTTTCCCATCCTAGTCTTTCGCGATACTTTAGGTTTACTTCTTTTGTTAGGTCTCAACTTCTCCGCTATGATCTTCCCAGTAGTTTATATAGGAGCTATAGCCGTTTAATTCCTATTCGTTGTTATGATGTTCCATATTCAAATAGCGGAGATTCACGAAGAAGTTTTGCGCTATTTACCAGTGAGTGGTATTATTAATAAAAGGCGAATTTCGGTGTCATGATTCTTTCTCTCGGATTCTATATCTTATGAATGCTTATTCTGAGCCTTTCCTCGCGGGCCGGAATTAAAGTGGCTCTTGAAAAGAATGTAGTACTGAAATGCAAGATTTTGTGTTTTACAGCCGCGAACTTTTGAGGGAAAGATCTTTAAAACTGAGAGAGCTCCACTAAAAAGCCATCCCTGCGGAAAACAAGTTCAAAATATGCGGGGCAGCGAAACAACATTTTTTTAAAGCAAGCGCTTAGGTTCTCTTGTTCATGCTGTCTGACCTTATTGGATGAAGAATTATGAGAACTTGGGTTATCGTTGGATGCTTCGTTGCCGGTCAAGGGCCGCTTGCCCAAACATGAAAACATGGAAGGAACCCATAGATGGTAACTCCCTTTTCTTTTTGAAGAACAAAACATGCTGGGCAGAGAGACACCCCTAAAAGCTTAACCTCCACTTGGCTCTCACAGCAATGATTCATCAAAGGCCTCCCCTTCTGATTAAGACCAATCCTTGTGAAAGGGGATGAAGACATTTGATCCGACTCAATAAATCCAAGATGAAAATTAATTCATGTTGAAGGAGGTATGAACCGAGGAAAAATCCAATTTTTGGTCATAGGGTGCTAAATATGAGTGGATTCGCTTTCACCTTGCCCTAATCTTAAGTATGTCGAAGGATAGTTGCATCTGAATTTCGATGCGAATAGGAAGATTCAAATATAGTGAAAGCCTCAGGCCGGAAAGATAAGAGTTACTGTCGCAGGCTCTGGGCGATGAATCCAATCCAATAGGTCAACGGATAGAAGTCCACTCCATCTCTCGTTGGAAATATACGGAACGAATTCTTGACCAAGGGGACACTTGAGCGTGGGCCGTCTACGGAACTCCCACCGTGTAGCGCGACTTCTTGATGGCAAGGACGAGGGAGCTTCGCGACACAATCAAGGAGAGAAAAAAAAGAAAAAGAAGTAGCGAGCGTCCCTCCCTATTAGAGAAGGCTAGTTTCAAGGTGGTCGATGTCACTTACATACCTCTCGCTACGGTCTCAAACCTCCTTCCTATCGGTCTTCATACCTCTCTTCAGGAGAGGATATGGAATTGCATCTAAGGGCGTTAGCGTTAGTTAATTGAATTGAGTCTAAGCTAGAGCTCGCACCCAACCGCCCAAGCCATCGGGTAGCCCGATCTCAATATATATAGCAGCTGCAGAGAAGGCATTTTCCAGCTCGAAAGTTAGTTAGGCAGTACGTCAGGAAGTCCTGCCCCCAAAAACCAGTTTCCATCCAGTTCCGCCAATATCTATCTCATATATAGTTCTGTTGCCCCAATAGTCTTGTGCCCCCAGAATGTCCCCAGCAAAGCATGCCCTTCTATTTTGTTTCAAGCGATAGCTTTAGATTAGACGTTTCATCGTCAGTTGAAAGCTTAGAAGTCGCACGGCATTTCCACATTTAAGCTTTTTAGCAGGTAGTTTATCTTTTTTTAATTACTATTACGGTTGAGCTGATACGATCCTCCGAAGAAAGATTCGGGCCTGTTTCCAGAAAAAGTGCATTTCTTTATTCGATTACGTGATATGTATCCTTTGGGCAGGAAGATTAATAAACAGCAGAAAGCAAGAAGAAAAAGCGTTTATGCTAACAGCATGCAAGTGCGGATTCTTTTCTAGATTCACTCTCTTCCTCACCTATGAGCGAGCTAAACAACAAAATCTCTTTCTGAGTTAGGGAGTTCAGCGGCCAATTAGCGACAAATCAATATGAGGCTGATGATGCGAAATAGCATAGTGTGTTATTAGCATTTTAAAGGATTAACTATAACAAAGGTTTTGGCAAGTAAACGAGGATTTCTTACAGTAAGATAGAAAGCGGTAGGTCTCCGAAAATGCCCTCCCCGTGTCGTGGGAAAAGTAATATTTTTTCAGGTAGAAGGCCTCTTCCTTGAAAGCAGAAGGACTCCGCTGACTCACCAGTTACGGGGATCGGCGCGAGCTTACCCTAGAAGGAAAGAGAAAAAAATGCTCTACACGAGCGAGAGAAGCTACCGGACAAGGCACTCTACGGCGGATTTTCGGCATAAATGAAATATCTCCCGTATTATAGTGCAGACAAGAAAGTAGCTTTGACGTAACTCGCTGTTGCTCATCAAAGTGTAAGGCTGCACCTGACTGAATGAAAAAAAGCCCATTCCCATTAATCTTTGAGGGAAAGCCCCTTCACCTTCTCTCTTCGAAACATATATTTAAGAAGTTACACTGGGACGCTTTCCAGAAGTGTGCTCGGATCGCGAGAGATGGGCGGACCTGTCTTTTTTTAAAAAAAAGAGAAAAAACAAAATTTTCGCATGAAAAAAAAGAGTATCACTCCTTCACCTTTTCATCCAAACTTAATGTCAATCTGATTCGGGTAGCAAAGTCAATTCAGGCCTTCCCTGCCCCCACAACAAAAACAAGTCGAAAACCCTCTAGAAACGCAGTTGATGCGGTTAATTAAAAGCCGTTTATATCAACGAGAATCTAAAACAGCTTATGGACACGCACAATTATGATCACGCCCACCTGACTGGACATGTTCCCCAAATCTACACACAGGGGGGAAACAAACGATCTGGAGCATTTATGTTCACTTCTACAGGATCTTTTCCTTTATATATAATGGGTTTGTAGTCTTTTTTTCATCAAGCCAACAATCTTCTCCATTTCTATATTCTTCAGGGGTGGTTAGTCAAACATTAGGGAGGGGGATAAGGTAAGTGTAAAGTTAGAATCGAATGTTCTTAAACCGCGTGGCGCTGCTGGATTGCTTCTGATTTAATAGAACAGGAAGAGGAGTCAGCTAAAAAGAAAGACCACCAAAAAGTAAACGACACAAGATACGCATAGTGATTCGATCTTTTATCACTCATTTTTGGAAAAACCATTTTTTGGGGCCTTCCGCCTTTACACACGGAAATGGGATTGCCTGAATCACGATCTGTATATACTTGTTACGATCACCTCATATGATAAAAAGTCCAGAGAACCAATTTGTAAAGAACATCAAGAAAAATTTTCTGGTCATAAAAACAAGAAAAGCATGAATGCGCTAAGAAGTTCTCTTCGGTTAAAAGCCGTTGCGACTCGGAGGACATAAGACTTCTTGGTCAAGCCAAAAACGATGCCGACAGGATGCTCCTACCCCACCATGCATGCCGCTTTACCTTACCTTAAGAGAAAGAGGGAGTTATGAAAGCGTGGGAACATGCCAAGAAGTGTAGAGTACAACAGTAAACCTTAAGAGAGTTGGGCCGCAAAGCTCTTTGATTGATCAACCGCACGTTGAACTGTGCTTAGACTTCTTCTCGTATAAACCACACCGATCTACGAGAAGAAGCTGTATGGATGAGTAGGCTTCCCTTTTTCGATACACGAATTGATTTGGACACGATGGAGTTTGCGTCCTGTTAGGAAAGAGATCACCGGACTATTAAGCACGACGATCGCCTTTTCTTGCTGCCATTGGGTCGACCTGTAAACAAGGTAACCAATGGGAAACCAAAAAACGGAGGGTACCGCATGGCAGAAGGATTGATCCAAAAAAGCGATGAGGCTCACCAGCTTGAGGAAGGTAAGCGAAGCTTACCGCACCGAAAGCTTGTCTAGCTATGCTTGCAAGCCTAACAAAAGCTATGTATAGACAATAGGGGTTGAGATAGGCGACAGGTAAGCTTGCTTCCAGCCGCCCGGCCGCCGCGAGAATCAAGAGAATCTTTCTTGGTGCTGACTCTGGATCTTCGCGGGACGGAACTTAAGGCCGCCAGAAGCGACGTTTTTTTTTTTTTTTTTTTTTTAATAATATATTATTGGCTTATTTGCCCACTTGCCTCTATTGATGATAAGGCCCTAACTATCAAGGGTAGTTACTATTTCAACGTTTCTTCCTGATATAATATGCTGATATAGGATTCACGGCCTAAATAAAAAACGCAAATGAAAAGGAAAGTTAGGGCCTTATTCTCCTCATGGTGAATTTCATGGTTCACCCCAGAAAAGGGAATGCAGCAAAATGAATGCATGCCTTAGAGTATTCTCTTTGCTATTCTGGCGCCAAACTGGAGTGCTATTGGTTTCAGTAAACTACTGTGAATAACTAGTCCTTCACTGAATCAGACATGGCATTGGCTAAGATTTCATAGATGCATCATGTGATGCCAAGATGCATCATGGCTTGCGAGCGATACCAATGCTCAAAATGGAAATAAGTTGTAACCCTGTGTAGAAATGAGTTATAACAAGGTTGCAATTTCATCTTTTATTTTCATAATGAGAATAACATGTAGTTGAAAATTTGTTTTTTGGTTGTCATGACTCCTGATCGCAGATGTTGTAACTGAATTTATTGAGGGTCTAGCAGAAACATATCCTGGCCTGCAGTACTTGGATGGTTTTCCAGAGGTGATTGAATAATAAAATTTTCTTTATTACAATTTTGGACTCTGCATGACATTACAATAAGTTGTGACATTTTTCTTTTCCATTTCTTTTTCTTTTTTATTTTGTTTTGTTGGGCAGGTCAAGGTTGTATTACGTGCTGATGTTTCGAGTGCTACATATGACAAGGTTGCAATAATATCAGGTTTATTACTAGCAAAGCATTTGAACATTGTTTAGTCCTGAAACTTGAAGACCTATGTCGTTATTGTGTGCTTCAAAACTCATGTGTGAACTTCTTTTTTCTTTTGCTCATGCTTATGGTTTAAGTTTAAACGTGAAATGGTGAATGCTGTAGTGATTTGTTTTTATTTTGTGGGTATAGAAAAAAGAGATATGTACGTGTATTGGGTAATAGCGGGATTGCTGAAGACTTTATAGTTAGGAGTAGTACGATTAGTGGAAGCTATGAGAGCTCAAAACAGACAAGCAGCTTTAGCTATTACCCTTTCTTCCTTCTTGCTCAGGGCATTTAGTTGCACAAGAAATAAAATGTGTTAGGAAATTAAAATAAATGTTACCATCCCTTCTTTATATGATTACATACAAGCATATATTTTTGTGTATAAAATTGATAGAAAACTAAGACTATTTTTAGGTGGCTAGGAGAAGGAATTATGGATTGAATGTAGGTTGTGAGAAACATTCACAATTAAAATAAAAAAATAATGAGAGTGCTTTTGATCAAAATGTAACAAAATAGATATCTTGTATGATTTTGTTATTGATGTAGAAATGCTTTCCAGTTTCCACTGATGGATGGGAGTCGATCCACTTTGTCCATTATAGAAGAAATGGGAATGAGATACATGATATATGTGGGATCTTTTGGGGAAAGAAACATGCAATTTATAATTGGATAATTATAAATAATATCTTAGGAGTAATGGAAACAATTTTTTGATTTCTAAGGTGCATCTGATGTATGATTAAACAACTACTGAACCTTACAACATGCACCTGATTGCCATGGTAATCAACTTCTGATGGGATTTGATAAGTACAGTTGTTGGTCTAAGCATCATGTGAATAAAGCAAATCTGGTGCTTTCCTGGAACTAAATTTCATTGCACTTTACCTGTTTGTTATATTGAATCTGCTTTATGATACAGGCGGAGGAAGTGGCCATGAACCGGCTCATGCGGGATTTGTTGGAGAAGGGATGCTCACAGCTGCTATTTGTGGAGAGGTTTTTGCTTCTCCACAAGTTGATTCAATTCTTGCTGTATGTTTTTCCTTGTTATATTTTTCACTGCAAGATATTTACATCAGTTATGAATATATCTCTTGTTTAAATGGTTTCTCTCTAACCTGCTTCAACTTTAGGGCATTCGTGCTGTGACTGGTCCCATGGGATGTCTTCTGATTGTCAAGGTATAGTTACCCAAGTTATTAAATTCAAATATATTTTGTGAGAATTATGTCTCTGTTTGAAAGAAAGTAGGGCTGAGCAGAGACTGACTGAACCAGCTGACCGGTTTGTTTCATTTTTTAAAATGTTCAGTTTGGTTTCAGTTTTAATAGAAAAAAAAAAAAATTTGTTTTCCTGTTTGGTTTGGTTTTCATTATGTAAAACTTAAACCTAAAAACCAAAACCAGAATTGAATCAAGCCCAAAAATGAGCCAAAGCCAGAAACCAATCCTAACCAAACTGGTTTGGTTCGGTTTTGCATGTCCCTACAATGAGAGATAGAAGGAAAAAGACAGATATTAGACTAGGAAAATGAAGTGGGAGGAATAAAAGGTTTTCCTTTACTTGAATAGCTTGATAGCCTACATAAAAATCTGCTCATGCAGATTGTACTTGTGCTTGTGGATTCATGGTGCTGTAATGTGGGTTTTTGACAGAATTATACTGGTGATCGACTAAATTTTGGTTTAGCTGCGGAGCAAGCAAAATCTGAGGGTTATAAAGTAGAGGTGTATTTCAAATTATTCTCTTTCCTTGATTAGACTCATTGCTGGTGAGAGAAAAATCAAATGAATCACCTGTTTTCTTTTGCAGACTGTAATTGTTGGAGATGATTGTGCTTTACCTCCAGCTCGGGGCATAGCTGGACGGCGTGGTCTGGCAGGGACCATTCTAGTTCATAAGGTAATATCTGTATCTGCACACACTGACACACAAATGCACAAGCTCAACCAAGAGAATGGCAGCATCAAATTCTTTTCCTGTGCTTGAGTCCTGCTTTTGATTCTCTCTCTCTCTCTCTCTGTGTTGTTGTTTTCTATTTTTGTTTTCCTGCTTCCTTTGTTCTTTCCTGCAAATATAGTTTGTGGATTCATCCTTGCTATTCTCAGTGGTTCTTATTATGGTCTTAACTTTTATTATTCAACTTTGTCCTTGTATATTGAATTTAATCAGTTATTAATTTATTGTCATAATTTCATGAATGTGTTAAAGATATCTGGTTGAATTATTTAATGGTAAGTTGGCTTAGGCCACCGACTGAGACAATGGCTTGAAATCCAGGTAGAAATAAGACCAATCGAAAACCTTGGGAGCAACAAATCACGGGGCATAAGCTGTTGAATAAGCGGTGTCTAATTAGGCTTGAAAGTTAATCTAGGCCTGCTTGGAGATGTTGAGAAAGTTTTAGAACCAATTTTAACCCTTATCCATTATTTTACTTAGGGTAGTAATTTATTGATTGCTTTACTCTTATCATTTGACCATTTTTCTTCCTTCTTTTGGAACTTTGTAAGCTTAGAAATATTCTTTTTTATGCAATTACTTCTGATTAATGCTTTCTCCTCTGTGAAAGACAGGTTGCTGGAGCTGCTGCTGCTGCCGGACTTCCTCTTGATGAGGTTGCTGCAGAAGCTAAACGTGCATCTGAATTGGTTGGAACAATGGGTGTTGCATTGTCAGTTTGCACGCTGCCTGGTCAGGTTACCTCGGATCGTTTGGGTCCAGGAAAGATGGAACTTGGTCTTGGAATTGTGAGTAATTTCCAGTTAGGCACTGTTTTCCTAAAATAAAACACTATATGTTATTGGATTGTATGCTAATTGATTGTTTTCATACTTTGATTGCTATAAATTAGCTTAACTTGAATCCATGTTTTTGAAATTATTTTGTTAGTCTAATTGTAAAGAGGAAAAAGGACTGAAAGTAATATATATATGTATTTTAAGTTGATTCTGTTTTATGGTTTGCACATCATTTGGTTAGCCTGTAGCTATCTATTTTTTCTTTTTGGCATACTATTAACAACAGCATAGTGCTTCACTTCACATGCTCAAATTTCTGATTGGGCATTTATGAATCAGATCTAATTTTCATGCACTTGTTTTGCTCTTCCCACCTAGCATGGTGAACCTGGTGCTGCTGTAGCTGACATTCAGCCTGTTGAGGTGGTGGTTTCTCATATTCTTAAGCAGATTTTGTCGACGGTATGTGTTGAAACTTGACATTTAGCCCCCTATAAATTCATGCATTAGATGTTCATCATGTTACTAATTGTAGCAGAAAAATGAAAAACAAGAAAAAGAGTTAAAAATTTATTATTTCTTTAATCCACATTCAAAAATTGGTGAAATGTCAGTTGTATCTTGAAACTGAGAAAATTACCATAACGAGTCATAAAGATGAAATTTTAAACTAATCGAGTCCAGATTTCTACTGTTGGTGATTTCCATTTTGTTTGTTGTGTTATCATGATTCTTTTGTTAGAATCAAAGTCACATATAGATTTTTATCTCATTTGAGAGTGAAGTACAAGATAATTATAAGAATCAAATTTCATATTGGTCCTTGACATTTTAGATTAATCCTATCAAGGTCAAAATTAAATTTGTGGCCATATTGGCACAGTACTTTTGTATTGGAGTCAATTGAACCCAATTTTTGCTCAGAAAGAATAAAAATTAATAATATAAATATATTTAGATTTCAACATTCCAAAGTTTTATAACCATCATCTTTTTTCTCAACTTTCCCAATCATCTGTTATTGAGAAAAAAAAAGGGCAAACAAACTTTCCCAATCATCAAATATTTTCCTCAACTTCCCCACATGTTTCATTTTTCTTTACATTTCCAAATCATAAACGCTCAAACTTGAAGTTTACCATTATCACACTAGTCAAAAGCAGTTGGAAGAATGCTAGCAAGGAGGACTTGATATTGCTATACAAGATTTGGGTTAACCGGCTGGCATGCTGCACGAGGTTTTAGTTATATATGGGACTGGATCTGGCTGAGTCTGTTTGGTAGTTTCTTTGTTTGCATGTTTCTTAGGACTGATACTTGATGGAACTTTTGGAAACCTATTTTTAGATGGTAGCTTCATCTTCTCAAGGTTTTTGGAATCTATTATCGTTCTTTCCATATTGTACATGTTGAGTTTGTGGTTTATTGATTCCTAAACTGTTCAAATATGATTTTTGGCTGCCCTTGTTTTCTTCTATGCTTGAGAAATTTATTTTGATAGGCCAATTTTGTCACAGGGGTCCTTGTTCTGTCTCTTTTTTTTTTTTCTTTTTCTTTTCTTTCTTTCGTTTTATTTTCTGCATTTGTTATGATTGTGCAGAATTCTTTTATGTTGTGTTCTGTTAATGAATTTTGCTTATAAAAAAAAAAGGATGGTTAATGGCTAAGTTGGATTGCTGCAAACAGAATTCATGTTGTTGCTGGGTTTACCTTTTATTTTGGATTTTAGACTGAGTTTTAATCAGTTTTTGTTTATTTTTTCAAATTAAGAGATGGAAATTTCTTGTGTTAGAGCCTGGAAACTATTTTTTAAAATATCTTTTGTGATTAAAAGAATTATTTAATTATTTAAAAACAAGACAATTTTTATTTACTAGATCAATGAAAATTAATTTTTTTTGTTCTTTTAGAAAAAAGATTGGGTTATAAAAATATTCTGCTAATTTGGCCTCAGATTTAATTGTGGGTCTTATTGGTTGAATTTCCTAATTATAATTACACAAAAGAGGCTATGGTATTGAAAAGGGGTGAGTAATATAGATGACATTCTTTTTTATTAAGATTCTAAGACTTGTTATTTAGATTCTAAGTGGAAAACTAAAATCTTTAGCCAAGGAAACTGTTTTAACAGGTTGCATGTTGAAGCGCTGGCATGAAATTATTTATGTTGACTCTGGCTCACAACTTATAGTGGATGACATTAATGTTGACTCTGACTTTAGCCAAGGAAACTGTATTGATCCTCCAGATATTAAAATTTTGCAATGTCTCCAAGTTGTTTCTTTGTTTAAGTAACTGCTATCTGCATGCACATTCAAACTTGTCTTTTCTTGAAAAGGTCTTGAGGCATTAACTTTAGCATACATTGTTTTATTTAGAAAGACACTTTCTTACAAAAGGTTTTGTATTAGTTACTTTCACGCAGGAAAAGAAATTTCACATTACAAAATCTTTAGTGTTCAGTTGACAATATAATTTAATTATCTATTTTCTGTTTCATTTAATGTGGCAGGAAACAAGCTATGTTCCAATCACACGAGGTAATAGAGTGGTGCTCATGGTCAATGGGTAGGTTCATGTATTTTCATTTGCACTTGAGATTGATATTTACTCTTGTTTAATAATAATGTGTAAAATCAATCATCAGATAGTTGATGTGGTTGTTTCCTTTTGAGGATGTTTTGAACATTAAACATTTTGTTAAGACTTGATATAAATGAATTTCATGAAATTTTATGGAATGCATTTGCAAATTTACACTTCTTTACATGTTTGGTATACAAAAAAGTTTGTCTAGAGTTCTCACTCATTAATTCTGTGGAATTGAATATATGCGTAAATCAATTTCTATCAAAATTGATAGAATTTCCAAATGAATCCCGGACATAATTTTTATTGGGGTAAATGCCTCTATTTATTGAATTGAATTTCACACTTGAACAAACAGAATTTCATTGCACGTCAATTGAATTCATTGATTTAAACATGATATACAAAACACAGGAATTCATCTACAAATGAATTCTATTACAAAATTTATTTGCAAATGAAATGAATTCTACTTTCATTTATACCGAGCAGGGGTAAATCCATTTCCATATAATTGCATATATTTCGTCATTAGCATCTGTGTCAATTATGCGATCTCGGGTTCATGTTTCTGGGTTCACGTTGATGGTTGGACTTTTTGTTTTTCTTTTCTAATTGCAGACTTGGTGCCACTCCTGTTATGGAGTTGATGATTGCAGCAGGAAAAGCAGTCCCTCAATTGCAGCTGGAGCATGGACTGGCTGTTGATAGAGTGTATACTGGGTCATTTATGACTTCTCTTGATATGGCAGGTCTGATTTTAGCGACTTAGTGTAATGAGCATTCTATTGCTGAGCAGCATGGTTGTCACCCCTTTCTTGTTTTCTTTCAGGATTTTCAATTTCTATCATGAAGGCAGATGAAGCTATTTTGCAACGCTTGGATGCTGCAACTAGAGCTCCTTTCTGGCCTGCTGGAGTTGATGGTCTGTGGTGTTGTTTCGGAACAAATTCTCTGTATTACTAAATTTTGTCTGTAAGATTGTTTTCTATGATCACTTTTGACTAATGCATCAGGTGATATATATTTTCCTAATGAAAACACAAAATAGTTCACCCTTTCAACAATAGCTTATTATTATTTAGAATAAACCAAAGTAGTCAGTAGAAGTGCTACATTGATTTCCGGAGTTCTCTTTATTCGCAGGTAATCGTCCACCTGCCAAGATACCTGTTCCTGTGCCATTGACTCTCTTAATGAAGAGTGATGAGGTACTTTTGCATTATTGCTTATCTTGTTATGTGATAAAAAAAAAACAACCCTCTTTGGCTTGAGAAATTACCTGCTGCTTCTTGGATTTTGCAGTTATTTTATTATCTGTTTTATGGAAAACTAATTTGAAGACATGCTAATTTTTTTTTAATGGAAACTTTAAATGTAAAATTGAAGTGGTGCATCAGAGGCTATAGCTTTGCAGTATATCAAATTTATGGTCACGTCAATAGTTTGCTAGTAGCTAAGAACTAATAATAGTATATAATGTTTATATTTTATCTTTTATTTTAGTCATTACTTCATTACAGTTCCACTTCCCTATTTTTTTAAAAATCATTTGGTTTGGTTATTTTACTTTGTTGACAATATCTTTGACTTGATTACATTAGTAAAAATGAATTTAATACAAATAGGTAAGATTTAGTTTGAATTTGGTCTAAGTTAAAAAAGAAAGATCAAAATCCTAAATGTTAAAAGTTCTGATTTTATCATCTCTAACTGCTACTTGGTTCTTTGAGGTTCAAGATTATACCCTAGATCAAAAAAGCCAATAACTTCTCTTTACACTATTCAGTATAGGTTGATTTTGAACTGAAATAGACTCCCAAATAAGCTATCAGAACCATGGATTTTAGATCTGAACTGGTCAATAAACGATGGGAATTTATGTAGTAATCAGTTCTGTTAATCTATCAAACCTATTTTTATTAAAGCCTGCTCAAACCGGCTGGATAACTAGCAAGCTGGTAGACCTGGTCATGGTTCAATTGGGATAAGTTGTTTGGTTCAGGCCTATGAGGTTGATATGGCACCATCACAAGCTACTGCATCACCATTAATGAGCAATTGCATCAATTTTGTTAGTTGTAGGTTGTAGGATCCAAACTGCTGACTTAAAAGATGTTTCAAGTGCCTAATTCAACTGAACCAAATGACCAATTGAGATTTTTTTTTTTTTTTTTTTACCTAAGTTACATGTTTAATGTGTTTACAAAATAATTCTATTTACATCTTCCACTTTTCTTTTTAAAGGTCATTAATTTTATCCAATGTATGATGTGTAATCTTCAAAACTAGTTTATTGAGCTTTTATGAATACCAATATGCTTATTGTCATTTAACATTGGGTGAATTACCATTTAGTCCCTAGTGAGATACATTAGTCAGGATCTGTATATTTAAAAATTAATTTATAGTTCTATTTTAACTACATCCAATTATTATTGCCATCTATTATACTTTTTGTTAAAATAGATTTAGCCCATCTATTGGATTTTCTGTCTATTTTACCCTTAGTATGAATTACTATTTAGTCTCTACATTATAGAATATTATGCTAGTCAGGATCTTTGTTTTCAAAATTAATTCTAAGGACTGTTGTATTTATGATCTTTCAATTATATAATCCTTAATTTTTCAGCTATAAGGTTGAAACAAGATGAGAAAGAAGGAATTGGAGTAAATATCAACCAAAAAGTGATTTTTTAACATAAATTACATTTATTGGGTTTTTGTGGACTCGTTTTAGTTGATCTCAGAAAAGTTATAGAAATTCTAATTGAAGGACTATATACTTCGTGAGAGAGTAAGGAACAGTAAGAAAAATACAGATTATAAAATAGAGCACCAAACAAGCTTTGAAAGCAAAATCTGGAATTAGATTACTTGATTATCTCTTTTTCTCAGTTGCAGAATAACAGCATAAAAGAGATCAACTCTCAGGAACTTGATACAGGAATTCAAGAAAAGGGAAATAAAAGATAAGGAAAATGGGAATTTGGATCTTAAGAACCAAGCCAAGAAACAAAGGTTTCTCCAACAGAATATCTCTGCCAAAAGGAATAAAATCACAAAAGATGATTTTGGTGTTGAGCTGCTCTGCCTTTTATATTGCTGCTGACTCGTAACTAACTGTGCCAGGTGTCATTCCCACTCATTGATCAAGCAATCAATTGCCTTGCATCATCCTCTTTTGCTGGCGTCACCCCTGTGTCTTCTTGTATAGACCTTAAAAGGCTTAGGCCCATTTCTATTTCTATCAATACTTCCTGCTGAAGAAGCAGCCTTGTCCTCGAGGCTGAAATTTGGGAAAATTAAGAATTGTCGAGCTGGCAGGCTATCTCTTAGGATGGAGCAAGTCTGTATAATCTCAGCCGGCTCAACCAGGGGTTCCTCAACATCTTGCAGCTGTGTGGGAAGTTCAGAAACCGGCTTGTGATCCCCTATAACTTTCTTGAGCTGAGAAACATGAAAAACAGGGTGTATCCGAGAGGTGGGAGGTAAAAGTAGCTTATAGGCTACAGCTCCAACTTTGCCGATAACTTCGAATGGGCCATAGTAGCGTGCTGCTAACTTGGCATTGACTTTAGAGATCACAGAATGCTGCCTATAAGGCCTGAGCTTGAGAAATACCTTGTCACCGACTCGAAACTGAATATATCGACGGTGACAGTTTGCATACTTAATCATCAGTTGTTGAGTGCGAAAGAGATTGAACTTTAGTTGCCTAATAATCTAGTTGCGGTCTTGGAGATGATGAGTTCCTCAACTCTTGTTTATCCTGGTAAACGTTGTTGAATGGAAGGAGGTGGCCTGCCATATACAATCTCACAAGGAGTTTTTGCAGCCATTCCTTGGAAGCTCGTATTATACCAGTATTCTGCCTGGTACTTTGCCCAAGATCGAGGCTGCTCACAGCAGAAACAGCGGAGGTAAGACTCGACGCTTCTATTTAAGACCTCGGTTTGCCCATCGGTTTGCACACAGCAGAAACAGCCGAGCTAAACTTAAGCTGTGTGCCTTGCAATCTGAAGAGCTCCTTCCAAAAATTGCTTAAAAATAGTGGATCACGATAGCTAATCATTGTCTTAGGAAAACCATGAAGCTGAACAATTTCTGAAGTAAACAACTCGGCAACGCATTTTGCAGTGAAAGGGTGCCGCAAGGAGAGAAAGTGGGCCTATTTGGACAGCCTGTCCACCACCACTAAGATGCAATTGACACCATGAGAATGGGGCAGGCCTGTGTGAAATCCAAGGCAGTTTCTTCCCATATCATTTCCGGAATAGGCAGCGGCTGTAAGAGACCGGCCGGGGATTGAGTCTCATATTTTTGTTGTTGGCAAACAAAGCATGAGGCAACAAATCTCTGGATCATACCCATCATCCCTTCCCAATAAAAATTTGATGCAATGTGGCGATAAGTGCGATAGGTTCCAGAATGTCCTCCCACAGGAGTGCAATGAAACTCAGAAATGATTCTCTGGATCCATTTTGAATTAGCAGGCAAGACTAGCCTCCCTTTAAAATAATAGTCTCCCATAAATGAGGGGATAATGAGGGTGCTGCCTAGTGTCATGCTGCAAGTAAAAAATTATTTGCTTCAAAGTATCATCAGCCTGAATTTCTTTGCTTATGTCGTCCCAATCAGCCCATTGATTACGGGAGAGAGTTTGGAGTTGAAGATCTTCTTTTCTTGACAAAGCATCTGCGACTTTATTAGAGTTTCCCGGCTTATACTCAATCTGAAAATCATAACCCATTAGTTTTGAAATCCAATATTGCTGGGTTGAAGTTGTTACCTCTTGGTGAACTAATTGGCTGAGACTCCGCTGATCAGTACGAATCAAAAATTTCCAGCCAATTAAATATGGTCTTCAATGGCGGACAGCTAGAACCAGCGTCATACGTTCATTATCATAAGCTGAGTGAATAGTCGTTAAATTAGAAGTGGCTTTACTATAAAAGGCGATAGGCTACCCATTTTGCATCAAGACTGCCCCGATACGGACTCCCGAGGCATCACACTCTACCACGAAAGGCTGACTAAAATCGGGCATTATCAACACTGGAAATGAAGTGATTGCCTGTTTCAAGGATTCAAAGGACTGTTGGGCAGCAGAGGTCCAAGCAAACTGAAGTTGAACTTTTTTTTAGGAGAGAAAGTGAGTGGTTGAGCTAGTTGGCCATAGTGCCGAATAAATTTCTGCTAATATCTGGTAAGACCCAAAAATCCCCTTACTACTTTTATCGATTTTGGGGGAGGCCAACGTAGGATTCTGGGTACTTTCACTGGATCCATAGAGACTCCCTTGCTAGAAATGACATGTCCTAGATATTCCATTGTTGTTTTAGCAAATGAACATTTCTTTTGATTTACATGGAGTTGATGCTGGTGCAGAAGCTAAAGGACCAAGGACAAGTGCTTCAGGTGTGAATCCTAATCCTTGTTTTATATTAATATATCGTCATAAAAAAAAAAAACCAAGACGAAGTGCCTGAGATAAGGTCTGAAGATATCATTCATGATTGCTTCGAAGGTGGCAGGGGCGTTCATCAGGCCAAATGGCATTACCAGAAACTCGTAATGCTCTGAGTGTGTACGGAAAGTAGTCTTGTGGATATCTGGAATAATTACTCGGATTTGATAAAACCTTGACTTCAAATCCAATTTTGTGCAAAAACATGCTCCATGAAGCTTATCCAATAGTTCTTGGATGATAGGAACCGGATATTTATTAGGGATTGTCTGTTTAGTTGGCGGTAATCAACACAGAAACATCAACTGCCATCTTTCTTGTGCAATAACAGGACCGGGCTGGAAAAGGGGCTGCAACTTGGCTGTATGATTCCAGCGGACATCTCAGCTACTAATTTTTCTATTTCATCTTTTTGTAAATGTCCATACCGATAAGGCTTGACACAAATTGGCTCTTGCCCAGGCTTAAGAGTAATTTGGTGATCAGCATACCTTTGAGGAGAAGTGACTTAATATCCTCAAAGATTTCCTTATAGTTTTGAAGAACTTGTTTGAGAGCCTGATCTTGAGAAGCAGATAACTTGTCTTTGGACACTGGAATTTTGGAGCCAGAGTCTAATTCACATAGCAGAACAGAAAAGTCCACTTTAGTTGCTCTGTGTAGAGAATGCTACGATGAAGAGACTTTAGATAAGAAGGGGTCCCCATTCAAAACAATCTATCTGTCAAGCTATAGGAACCTCATATACATCTTAGCCCAGTTGATATGTATTTCACCCAGAGTCTCAAGCCAGGCTACCCCCAAGATGAAATTGACACCGCTGAGAGGGAAGACATAAAAATCAGCTTGAACCTCATAATCACCCAATTGAATTCGAAGTTGTTTACAAACCCCTGAGGCAGCTATTCTACAACCATCACCAAGACGAACAAAATATGTAGGAGCTTGGATAACTGAAAGGTGTAGCTTGTGAACCAATTGGATAGAGATGAAATTATGGCTTGCTCCACTGTCAACCATAACTATAATCTGGCTAGAACCCAGCTGACCTTGGATCTTCATTGTCTTGGGTCTGCAAATACCACTGATGGAATTCATGGGAAGTTCTACATGAGAGAAGTGAGCCCCGTCCTATTCAGCTTGTGTAAGAACCTCTGTTGAGCCTTCCATTTCAGTCAATTGACCCTTATTAACAAAATTTTCATCTTCCCCAGCAATTAGGGCACGAAGAGAATGATTTGGCATTCATGAAGTGGGGAGTAAGGTTGCTTACATTTAAAGCATAAGCCCTTTGCTCGCAGATCTTGATACCCTTGATGGGAGTTATGGCGAGTGTTTCTTGGTTTGAGGGAAGCGGCAGCAGGTTTGGATTGAGTTGGAGGGAGGGCTAGAGTACGAGAGTTGTCTGGAGGTCAAACTGGAGTATGGAGATTGCCATCTCTAAGCAGTGGTGGGTTGGAATATTGTGGGCTTTTAAAATTAACTGGGGCTGGGTGTTTGGGTCCAAGTCCGAATTGGGTTAGGGTAGGATTGAGATGGGTACTAAGTCCAGTGGAGGTTTTAACAGTGTAGGAGAATTGGATCTCCCCCTTGATCTCTCTCGACACCTTCATCGCTTGATATAAATCAATTGTCGTCTCATAAGAGCAGAGGCGGAGGTGGATGTCGCTGTGGAGACAGTTAAGAAAATAGTCGAGGCATTGTGAGTCGGACAAGGATGGAGCCTGAGTAGCTCGAGATATAAATTGATCCATAAACTTGGTTACAGTACCCACTTGTTTGACAGCTGCCAGCAGCTCATAAGGAATCGTAGAGACATCACCGACATGTTTATGGGTGAGCTCAACTTTCAACTGTTCCCAAGATAATAGTGGTGTACGCTGGTGAAACTAGCGGAGCCAATGGAGGGGAGTTCCTTCCATGGCTACTGGGGCTAGAGACACCTTTAGTTCCTCCTTGATCTGATGGATTTATAAATATTGCTCCACTCTAGCAACCCAACCAATCGGGTCAGAGCCACTGAAGATTGGCATATCCACTTTCTTAATCGGTAGGGTGTGTTCATCAAGGAATGATGTTTTTGTATTGGGTATGGTGTTTGAGGAAGTGGGTTTATGTTTGGGGGAAGAAGAATCGCCAGATTTTGTGTTGGGCTGGCCGATGGTGAAGGTGGATATGAGTTGATCAAACTTTTGGGTTAAGAGTTTTAGGTGCTGGTCTATTGTGGAAAGGTTCTGGGCTTGTTGGGTTTGTTCATTGCGAAAGAATTTCATGGAGTCATCCATAGTATTGAGGCGGGTTTCAATGGTAGAGATGTTCCTCTCTATCTGTTCTACATGAGAATCCATCCTGGTAGTTGTCATCAGTAGATCCAAAGCAAGGTCGGACCAAATTGATAGAGTAAGGAACAGTGAGAAAAATACAGATTATAAAATAGAGCACCAAACAAGCTTTGAAAGGAAAATCTGGAATTATATTACTTGATTATCTCTTTTCTTAGTAGCAGAATAACGGCATAACGAGATCAACTCTCAGGAACTTGATACAGGAATTCAAGAAAAGGGAAATAAAAGATAAGGAAAAAGGGAACTTGGATCGCAAGAACCAAGCCAAGAAACAGAGGTTTCTCCAACAGAATATTTCTGCCAAAAGGAATAAAATCACAAAAGATGATTTTGGTGTTGAGCTGCGCTGCCTTTTGTATTGCTGTTGACTCATAACTAACTGTGCCTGGTGTGTCATTCCCACTCATTGATCCAGTAATCAATTGCCTTAGATCATCCTCTTTGCCTTGGATCAATTGCCTTTTATACTTTGATCATCTTCTTGTATAGACCTTAAAAGGCTTAGACCCGTTTCTATTTCTCAGTTCACTTGTTACTAGATACAGGAACCATTGAATTAATTTTTGAAAAGTAGAAGTCCTGACTGACTACCAAACAGTAATACCCCCTCTAATACTTGACTATCTCTTCTATTATAAACATGACTATTTTAAAAATTCAATTTATTTGTTAGAGGGAAATTTTATCATATTAGCTCTAGTATATTAATTCTAATAGTGTACCTATAAAGTTTAGTAAAGCTTATTACTGTAAATGTATTTTAGTTATGATTTTTTAAGAAACTTTATTTGTATTTAAGAATTTAAATGTCACCTCTGACCCGTTTTCTTCTGTCTTTACCACTTTGAACCGTGGTCTGGGTCTGAATTTTTGCTCTGCTCATGTCATTACCATCTAATGTTTAATTACAATTGAGTTCCTGAAATTTTAAAATTTGATTGCTTTTTAGTCCTTGAATTTTTATATATTATAAAATATTCCCTCGAAGTCTCATCTTCTTTGCTGAAGGTGGTGTGAAACAGTAAGATGATGTGTATTGGATCAATCCTTCAGAGGTTATTAATATTTCTGACTAATACTTTGTTAAACCTGACTTTGATTAGTCATTGGCTCGGCCGCTACAATTAAGTGAACAAGGACAAATTCTTGAGGTGGCTATTGAGGCAGCAGCAAATGCAATTATCAATCTTAGGGACAGTTTAAATGAATGGGATAGCAAAGTAGGTGATGGTGATTGTGGATCAACAGTGAGTCGAGTCTATCCTCAAACTTGTTCTGAATCTCATGATAAGCACCCGTGATTCATGGCTGATTTATCTGCTGTTGCAGATGTATAGAGGAGCAACTGCAATTCTGGAGGACATGAAAAAGTAGTAAGTTAGCTTCTCTACTATTCAGAAGTTTTGGTTGCTTTTTCATGTCTCTTGCTTTGACAAATCTTGTGTAGCATGTGATTTCTAATGTTATCATTGGTTTTAGCTGAATTTTTCGAACTAATACAGTGACTGGATTCCCCTACACTGCAGAATAGAACATACTTCATAAATTGCTTTTTTTAAAGCTAGTGATGCATATGCTTTAGTTTATTACAAAAGTTGAATGAAGCTTTCTTCCTTCAGTTTTTTTATTTTCATGATCTCACTTGAATCACTTTCTCTCTGTTCCTAGTTATCCTCTGAATGATGCTGCAGAAACTGTGAATGAAATTGGATCATCTATTAGAAGAGTTATGGGAGGAACGAGTGGGATTCTGTATTTTACTTGCTTTTTCTCTATGTTGATTGACCTTCGTCATTCCTTTCTTTTGATTGCCTTTGGCATTTGTGTGTAATCAATCAATCCCTTGATTTTCTTTTTTGGAACAGATACAATATATTTTGCAAGGCAGCTTATGCACAGTTGAAAGCAAACACACAATCAGCTGCCACATCAAAACAATGTGAGATTATGTTCCTAATGCGATAATTCCAGATACATGTGCCTAGGTCTTATTCATTCTCATGAATCAGGGGCCGATGCACTTCAAGCTTCCATTGCTGCCGTGAGTAAATATGGTGGGGCTAGTGCTGGCTATCGCACATTATTAGATGCACTTATTCCAGCATCAGCAGCTCTTCAGGAGGTTGGCAGCAAGAGTAATTCTCTTTTATTCTCGTAGCTGATGTGCTTTATACTCTGATACTATATTTACTTTCTGAAACAGAGGTTAGCTGCTGGGGATGATCCTTCCACTGCTTTTGTTCTTTCATCTGAAGCAGCATTTGCTGGAGCTGAATCAACTAGACAGATGCAAGCACAGGTAATGTTATTGTTTCAATTTTCTTTCCTTCTTTTTAAGATTCTGATTTATGCTTCTTCCCCATCATTTCGTCAAACTCGTGCATCAAGGCTCACAAAATTCAGGAAAAATTACTTCTGGCTTTCTTTTGTGCTATGGAAGGCCCATGGAAGCTTCCTAGAACCCTTGTTGGCAGTGCCATTGAACAAATGGAGCTCATGTCTTTTTGCATCCAAAATGAGCAGCAGAGGATATGTGGATTAAAATATGCCAGTTAGGCCTAGAGTTGAAAAGGACTAAGTCTCCTTCTTGGAAGTGTGTTATAGGGCTGCTGGACTTAGGGTAGTTTTACTGCTATTTACGGTGTTTTTATTTACTTATTCAGTGTTTATCATGTTATTATCAGTTTCTTTGTTAATGGAAGCTTCCTAGAACCCTTGTTGGCAGCTGCCATGAACAAATGAGCTCATGTCTTTTTGCATCCAAAATTGAGCCAGCAGAGGATATGTGGATTAAAATATTGCCAGTTAGGCTAGAGTTGAAAAGCGACTAAAGTCCTCCTTTTCTTGGAAGTGTGTTTATAGGCTGCTGGACTTAGGGTAGTTTTACTGCTATTTACCGGTTGTTTTTTATTTACTTATTCAGGTTTATCATGTTATTTATTCAGTTTCTTTGTTAATGGGTATTTAGTAAGGGTGGTTAAGGCAAGTTATTATCGAGTTATTTATCGTAATGGGTAGTTATTAGTGGGTAGTGGGTAGTTTTAGCTTTGCATTTAGTTGTTTAAAAGGTTGTGATATCAGGAAAAATGTAAGCAGAAATTTATGAAAATGTTTTTGAGTTCCTAAAACTCAGAGATTGTAGAGTTCTCTCTTAACGAGCTCTAGGAGATTGCAGATTCTCTCTAAGTCTGTCACCACTGATAGAAGGAAGAAAACTCATTCTAAGATACTCATCTCAAACCTGATCCCCTAATTCAAAGACCCATAACTAGATCCAAATTTGGGACCATAACAATTGGTATCAGAGCCAAAAGTTATGGGCGAATCTGTTCAAGACCAGCTTACAAACTCTTTCAATTTACTCTTATCCAAGCAGCAGGCCAAATCCAGACCCGTAATTGAAAAGTTGAACAACTTCATGCCCAAATTGGATGCCATGTCTTTGACTTGGAATCCACAAAGAAGGGGGCTGGAACTTCTTTCAAGTGCTGAGTGCTGAAAGTCAAGCACCGAAAGCAAAGGGTCCAATAGGTTCAGCCGGTCTAGAATCTCCTGGGGGCACTACAACTGTTTCGAAATTCACAGTTATGGGTGAATCTGTCCAAGACCAGCTTACCAAACTCTTCAATTTACTCTTATCCGAGCAGCAGGCCAATCAGACCCGTAATGAGAAGGTTGAACAACTTCATGACAAATTGGATGCCATGTCTTTTGACTTGGAATCCACAAAGAAGGGGTTGACTTCTTCAAGTGCTGAAAGTCAAGCACCAGAGGCAAAGGGTCCAATAGGTTCAGCCGGTCTAGAATCTCTTGGGGGCACTACAACTGTTTCAAAATTCACAGAGTTGGAGGTTCTTGGACCACCTATGAAGAGTAATAATTTAGGAAAGTTGGCAAAATTGGAACAACCTAAAACTGCCGCAGAGCGAATAGTTTTCCAGCAAATGTTTCAAGTCTCAATAGTTGTGTGTATAGAAGATGGAGTGGAGCAAAAGAAAGAAATAATCAAACATCAATTGTTAGCACAATTAGAGGGTCTTGCTTGTGATTTGGCAGCCTCTAAATGGGAAGGGAGTGGGAAGAAGCAACTGGCTATTTACGGTGTTTTTATTTAGTTATTCAGTGTTTATTCATGTTATTATCAGTTTCTTTGTTAATGGTATTAGTAGGGTGGTTTAAAGGGCAAGTTTATTTATTCGTAATGGTAGTTATTAGTGGGTTAGGGGTAGTTTTAGGCTTTTGCATTTAGTTGCTTTAAAAGGGTTTGTGATATCAGGAAAAAATGTAAGCGAATTTTATGAAAATGTTTTGAGTCCTAAAACTCAGAGATTGTAGAGTTCTTATCTTAACGAGCTCTTAGAGATTGCAGATTCTCCTTCTTAACGAGCTCTAGGAGATTGCAGATTCTCTCTAAGTCTGTCACCACTGATAGAAGGAAGAAAACTCCTTCTAAGATACTCATCTCAAACCTGATCCTCTAATTCAAAGACCCATAACTAGATCCAAATTTGGGACCATAACAAAGCGCCTCTTGGGGACGTGCTTGCCATTTGTAGATCTTAGCATTCTCATAGGCGTTCGACCTAAACTCATCCAATTCATTGCGTTGAAGAAGTCGCTTCTTACTAGCTGTTGTAAGGTCAAAATTCAACACCCCCATTGCCCACAATGACGTATGTTCAAGTTCAACTGGTAGCTGACAGGACTTGCCAAAAACCAAAGGGAAGTTCCAATAGAAGCTTTGAAGGCAATTCTATAAGCCCACAAGCTTGATCCAACTTCAAAGACCAATCCTTCCTTGATCTGCTGACTGTCTTTCAAGGATCAACTTAATTTCTCTATTAGAGACTTCCACTTGTCCACTTGTTTGTGGATGATAATATGTGGCTATTGTATGATATACACCAAACTTTTTCAAGAGCTTCAGAGGTTCTATTGCAGAAATGAGTGCCTCCATCACTGATTATACCTGTTGGTGTTCCATATTTAGAAAGTATATACTTCTTCAAGAACCTAGCCGCCACCTTTGAGTCATTTGTCTGTCAGGCAATTGCTTCAACCCACTTACTTGTGTAATCTATAGTCACAAGGATTTATTTGTTGTTGCAAGAGGAGGGGTGTGGTCTTATAAAGTTAATTCCCTACAATCAAGCATCTCAACTTCAAGAATTCCTCTTTGGGGCATCTCATTTGGCTTCCCTATATTCCCAATTCTCTGACGTCTATCACATTCTTCGACAAATCGCCTTGCATCTTTGAAAATTGTGGGCCAATAGAAGCCATACTTCATAGTATTGGCAGCTGTCTTGTTTGGACCTGCATGTCCTTCACTCCGTGAAGAGTGGCAGTGAAAGAGTATGGAATTTACTTCGTCTTTCGGTATACACCTTATCAAGCCATTCCACACTTCTTATATATTAGGGGATCTTCCCAAAAGTAGTTTCTTGCTTGAAATAAGAATCTCTTCTAATAATTGCTCAGATCATGTGGGGTAATTCTAGCTGCAAGAAAATTAGCAAAGTTAACATAGCATGGGGTCCTTGCAAGTGCTGTTTGAAACACCAGGTCTCCTGAAAAAGAATCATCAATTGGAAAATCTTCATTGTCCCCCACTTCACCTGATCTTTGGACTCTTTATAAGTGATCAATCACTACAGTCTCAATACCCTTGGTTATTGTGTTAATAATTCTCTACTTGTGTATATTTTTCATCAATGAGTGACACACACACACACACACACACACACACACAAGATGTTTCTAACTATATAGGAATCTAACTCTTAGACTGCTTAGGAATAAACTCTATATAAAAATAGGGCTTTAACTTTCCTTAACACTCTTCCTCAAATTGGAGCATAGATGTTAATCATGCCCAACTTGTTACAAAGATAGTCAACCCGATCCATATAGAGCTTTTGTGAAAGTGTCTCTTAGCTGTTCACTTGTCTTGACGTGCCCTATAGAGATAAGACCTTGTTGTCTCTTTTCACGAATGAAATGACAATCAATTTTAATATGTTTTGTTCATTCATGGAATACTGGATTTGATGCAATGTGTAGAGTAGCTTGATTATCACACCATAACTTTGTAGGCAAGGACGACTTGAAACTAATTTTCTCTAACAATTGATGAATCCAAATTATTTCACAAGCTGATTGTACCATAGCTTAATGTTTTGATTCAGCACTTGATCAAGAGACTGCATTTTGTTTCTTGCTCCTCCATGATATCAAGTTTCCACCCATAAAGACACAATATTCTGAAGGCGATCTTCTATAAACCTTCTAACTTGCTCGATCCGCATCTGAAAAACACTCAATGTCCAAATGCCCATGATTACTATAAAGGAGGCCACGACCTGGATTACCTTTCATGTAGCACAAAATCTATCCTATAGCTTTCCAATGGATAACAGTAGAACACATAAACTGGTTAAGACACTTACAAAGTAAGCAATATATGGATGTGTTACCGTAAGATAATTCAGTTTGCCCACCAATTTTTTATGCATCTCAGGATCATCAAATAACTCATCATCAATTGTAAGTTGCGAATTAGGAGTCATTGGAGCACTGTATGACTTGGCACTTAACTTTCTAGTTTCCTTCAGTAAGACAAAGACATACTTCCTTTGGGATAAAAAGATTCCTCTCTTACACCTAGACACTTCAATACCTAAAAAATATTTTAATGATCCTAAGTCTTTTCTTTGGAACTAAGTTTGGAGAAATTACTTGAGTGATGCAATGTCGGTTGAATCACTTCTTGTAGTAACAATGTCATTGACATAAACCACAAGTAGAATTAAACCAATCTTAGTACTTCTGAAAAATACAGAATGATCAGAAGTACTCTTCTACATGCCAAATTGGTGTACAACCTCGCAAAATTTACCAAACCAAGCTCGAGGACTCTGTTTTAGGCCATAAAGAGATTTACGAAGTTTGCACACTTTATCTGACTCCTCTTGAGCAGCAAAGCCTGACAGTTGCTATATGTAAACTTTTTCCTAAAGATCCTCATGAAGAAAGGCATGCTTAACATACAGTTGCTGTAAAGGCCAATCAAAAGTAGCTGCTAAAGAAATAAACAAACGGATAGAAGATAATTTGGCTATAAGAGAGTAAGTGTTAGAGTAATAAAGTCCACAAATCTAAAAATAGCCCTTAGCAACTAAACGAGCCTTGAGACAAGCAACAGACTCATCGGGATTCACTTTAATAGTTAAAACCCACTTACAAGAAATATCTCTTTTACTTGTAGGGAGAGGCACAAGATCCCAAGTACCATTAGCA